AATCAACCCCAGACAGTGCAATGATCGCCACCGGGCTTATTTCCAGTATTATTTGTATGACTGAGCTTTCGAATAAGCCAAAAGTAGCCTGTACACAACTTAAAAGGCTTGACTGGGTTATTTCCTCTCGATTGATACCTAATTAATTTTGTAATATTTTCAGACCATTACGCGATGTAAATTTCACAATAAACCTCACGCAGGCAACGGAGTTTATCGGTAGATTTTGTCACATATTTCACGGTTATTCAAACAAAAACTTACATATTCCACATATCAACATTGCCCAAATCCATTCGCGATAAAAACGACAACGAAAAAGCGTTGATCTCTCTCAAAACTCGTTTTCTTGTACTTCGAAACAACTTTTCGCCATACATTTCCTTCTTGCGACTAGCAGTGTTTGCCCCCTGACGATCCCAGAGTTCTTCGCGCAAACACGGGTATCCGATTACTGGCAACTCATTCATTGTCGTAATTATCAAAATGGTTATGTGTCAAACTTTCCATTCCAACTTTGCGACTTTAAAAGTTCCACACCGTAATTTTAAAATTGATAAATTATGAAGATTCGTGCAAATGAAAGCACCTGTTTATTAATAACTACTTATTAACCGAGAGTGAGGTCTTAACATATTTATATATAGTTATCTATACCCTTAAAACGTAAAATAATTTCTGAACATTTTTGCATTTTATTTAATTCATATTATTTATAAACAAGTCTTTAAAGTTCTATTATTTTCTCTTTAGTCATATCGTCTACAATGACTATTTCATTATCTTCTTTTTCTCTTCTTTTTTATTTATAATCTTACTTAAGAATAAAGACTAGCGATAAAAGAAAGTGTTTCGATCTCCCTGAGATCATTTTCAAGTTGTAGAAAGAGCGAATGAAATATACATATAGGTACAAATTAGGGCGTGAGAATGTCCAAAGATAAAACGTGTAAATACAAGCGCTAAAATGTAAGTGTTAAAATAATAAAATACTATATAAAAAAAAACCTATATAAATAACTTTGCACGGATTGAATCTGACTGTTTGTTCAAATTTGGCTTCAGCTCCTTTATAAGGAGCACTTCGTAGATCAGGCAGTCGAATTTACTTTGGCACTTTCTCAAGATCTTAAAATCACGATATATGTCACTT